AAAGTAAAATCACACACCAATTACAATAAATGATATTGAATACAAAATAGATAAAAATCAAATATTGTATAAAGAAAGGTGCTTATCAGCAAAAGAATGCATCATTAAAAATTATCTAAGAAGGCAAGAAATGGAATCTAAAAAAGAAAAGATTCAATAAGATATTCTATGATATAAAGAATACATATGATTATGTGAATCATCAATGGATAGTATATTCATTAAAATATTTTAATATTAATAATACAGTATGTCATTTAATTGAATGTATGTACAATAGATGGTTCATTAAGATGGGACATCATTACAATAATAATTTAGAGTATGTTAAATTTAGAAAATAAATTTAAAATTTTATTTTAATTTTAATTATAAGAATTTCTTTAAAATGTATAATATAAATGGAAAATAAGGGTTATTAAGGGTTGACATATTATTTATATTTTTTGTGAAATTTATTAAAATTTTCAATATTCTTTCATTATTTACATAAACAACAAATAATCATATATTTATCATTGTGTTATATTATTTTATATTTCAATGAATATTCAATGTTAAATAAGATAGTTCTATTTAACGATTAATAACAATTAATATTAATTATGATAAAAATGAATTATTGTTGTTCTAATAGTGATTCTTATTATGTATCATTTATAACAATAAATACTTAGTTCTATAAGATATTCTATTTTAAAATAATGTTTTAATGAATTATATTTATCTAATATTATAATTATATCACATAGTAATGTTAATATGTTTTTTATTTATAATTTCATTATTTCAATCATAAATTGTGTTGCTTTGTTATTTATTTCTTAAAATATTAAAAATTATGTTTATTTCATTATAAAAAATATTAAATTATGATTATATTTAATAAATTAAATATGATAAAATAATGTACTGATAATCATTATCATTTATATTGAACCTAATTTATTATTTTATAATGAAATAATATTTATTTTAATAGGGAACCAAAATAAACAAAGAAATAATGAATCTAAATAAAAAACACAAAAAAAAAGAAAAAGGGGTAAAATATTTTGAATAAATAAAATAAATTAATTTTTATTATTTTGTTCCTAAAAAAATAAAAAATAAAAAAGTAAATTAAATATTCATTCTATATTCATTTATATTTCTTTATATTTTATATCATTTTATGGTAAATTGTTCTGAATTATAAATGTTTCAGAAATGATATTTGATTCAATGTATGTATACATTTTTATTATTATGTTATTATTATGTT